GGAAAAATGAGGACCTAATGCTGGGGGCTTAAGTGGAGAGGAAATGTTTTGAGAATGATGAGGGCAATGAATGTACAAATGTGCTGTACACAATTGATGTATGTATGGATTGTGATAAGAGTTGTATGAGCCCCTAATAAAATGATTAAAAAAAAAAACAACTCGGCTTATACCCAAGCATATACACTAATTTCTGGAATATTTGGAACCTAATAAGCCAAATCCTTTATATTAGCTAGAATTATTTGGTACTCAGTTGAAAGAGAAAGAGGAAAATGGTGAGATTGGACAGTATTGAGGATTTAACTCATTCTTTTGTGTGCATTTTCCATGAGTGATTATTAGGAAGCCACAGTGGTGCAGTGGGCTAAGTCCTCACCGCACGATGGGCAGGCAGTTGATAGCCATCAGTTCACTGCTCTGAGGGAAGACAGAGCTATCATAAGAACTCACGATTCTCAGAAATGCCACGGAGTCATTGTACTGTGTCCTATAGGGTAACTATGAACTGGAATCAACTCAATGGCAATGGGTCTGAGTTTTGGTTATTAGTGGCTATTATTTTATCAATTAATAGCATTATTACTTTTTAATTTACTTTAAACTGAAGAAGAGTCACTTGTTTGACCTTGCAGCCTTCCCCCAAGGTTTAATGATCCTTTGGATCATAAATTTTACATGACAGGAATTTGTGCTTTTCCCTGAGAGCTGAAAAATGACTTTTGAAAAAATGACACCATGCCCAATATGGGTAGTTGACAGACATGGGAAAACATAACATCAAGGTATAATCCAGGAACCTTCAATTTATAAACAATCTCAGCATATTATATGGGAAACAATGAGGTCCCAGAAAACACAAAAAGCATTTAAAAGAATTTTGTGACAAAACCAAGCATGTAAGATACTATGTTGTACATTTTAAAGACTTCGATTCACACTTACTTCTCTGACTTCCACAAGATGATCGGGAGGTAAGTGAGCTCTTTTGCTAACTGTTTGAAGTCTGGAATGTCCAACATTAAAAAAAGATATGGCATTTTGACTTGGTCTCCTTTGGGATATTGGAGAATTGCCACTAGATGCAAGTGAGAAGCTCCGTGACTTCAGAGGAGGATTATTCTGTTAGACAAACAAAATCATTCCTTTTTTTCCCTTTTGGTTCTCTGACCCTTATATACTTAAAGCTCATATATGAAGAGTTTAATGTTTTTTAATAATCTGAGTTTATTACAATTACATTTCTGAAAACAGTAAGATTTAATATACTCAAAATTTAAGTACTTCATACATGTTACAGTGAACTGGTGATTTATTTAAAAATTAACTTCCAGTTTTATATTAACAAAGTTTTTTTCACACTTTACAAATATTAGAACAAGCACTTACAATTTCAGACTTTTAAAAACAATAATTGAAAGAAAAATATATCTGGCAAGATGATTTTTAAATTTAAAAATATATTTCTTAAATAAAATATAAATATATGTATATTCAGCAATGTAACAAAAATTTTAATGTAACATTGTTAGAATGAACCAGTACTTTCTGATCGTTGACTATAATTAGAATCTTGTTGTATAAGCAAAATTTTGTGATGGATTTCCTAAAGACTAGGCTACATATAGGTCTCAAAATTTGCTTTGGGAGAAAAACTAGATGAATAAAAAAAGTATATAATAAAAGTTAGGCTTTTATTATAGGTCTAGGTATGGAATAATACATTATCTTTCTTGTACATTCCTAACCACACATTTCAAATATTTTTAAAAATTTAAATATTCCAAGAAAAATGCTTAATTAGTCATTAGGAATGAAATAAAAATCACAATGAGATACCATTTCACACCCACTAGGATGACCACAGGCGCCCTGAGTGTGCAGTGGACTATGTGTTGGGCTATTAAGGTTACCATTTTGAAGACATGAGCTATTCCATGGGAACAGCCTGTAAAGAGTTACAGTCTAGGAAGCCCACAGGAGTTCTACCCGGTCCCACAGAGTCGCTATGAGCTGGAATCAACTCGATGACAGTGAGTAAGTAAGGATGATTATAATCAAATAAGTAAACAATGCCAAGTGTTGGTAGGAATTTGAAGAAACTGAACCCCCCTACAATACTGGTGAGAATGCCAAAAGATGTCACTTTGGAAAATAGTTCCTCAAAAACTTAACAGAATTGGCATATGACCCAGCAATTCCACTACTAGGTTTATATGAGGGGGCTTCATAAAGTTTGTAGGAAAATGGAATTTTTCTATGAGCTTGTTGAAGCCCTGTTTGAGCTGAAATCATGTTCACAGAAAAACTTGCACATAAATGGCCTCAGGGCTAGACATCTGGTTAAGTGGTCAATCAAGTTAAAACAGTTAATCCTTATTTGCCTGAAGCAATAGATGAGGTGAGTCAGGAATAGGAGACAGAATTGGTATGTGTGCTTCCAGCAACAACTACCTCCTATGTCATGAGACCAGAAGACCTGGATGATGCCCAACTACTATTACTGAATGTTTTAGTCAAAGATTCTATTGACGAAATCTGATCAAAAAGGGGGAAATGCAAAACAATTTTGAATTCTCATGGATTCAGATTTTCAGGGAGGCTGAATGAACTCCTGAAACTCCTGCCTTGCGATAATTTTAAAATTAAAAAATGCCATACATCTTCCTAAAATCAAGCAAGGGTTTAGCTTAATTCGTAAAAAAAGAAAAGTCTTCCTTGAGCATTGCACTCTTTTAAAAAACAGCTATATGAGAACAAGTCGACACTAGCAATTTGATTAGACAGGAAACTTAGGGGGCAGTGAGTTTTATTATGTAATGGCTCAAAGAACAATTGAAAAGTAAGGGTAATAGTTACACAACTTGAAGAATATAATCAATGTCATTGAATTATACATGTGGTAATTGCTGAAATTATGTGATGTTTTATATATTCTCAAATATAACAAAATATAAAATTTAATCTGTACATAATTGTTCATGATATCATTATTCATGATAGCCACAGAACATAACCAAACCAAAGCCAAACATTCATCAACTGCTGAGTATCTAAACAAAATGTGGTATATCAGTACAATGGAATTATTCAGTAATAAAAAAAATGAAGTACTGATACATACTACAACATGGAAAAATATCATGCTAAGTAAAAGAAGCCAGGCTCATAATGGATAATTCCATTTATATGAAATTCCTAGAATACGTAAATTCAGAAAATAGATTAGTACTTGCCTAGGGCTGGGAAGAAGGGAAAGGGGATGATAAAAATGTTCTAGAATTAGATGATGTTTGAACAACCTTGTGAATTAACTGAAAACCACACAATTATACAAAAGTGTAAATATTATGGCATATTATTCATACTTTAATGTTTTAAATTAATAAAGCATGTAAGTCTACATACCTTTCCAATAGCTTCAGTGTGGTGTTGTGTGCATATCTGAAGCCGGCTAACCCAATGTTGTCGCTCCTTAGCATCTGTGGCTGGTAAAAAGAATCTAAACGTTACTCGTTTTCATATTCATTTTTAGAATACAACTGATTGTCTCTAGCATAGGCTCCCAAACGTGGCTTTCTGCCCTCTTTTCAGGAAAAAACTACTCAAAACAATTTTTGCACTAGGTTCATAGCCAGGATGAAGTATAGGTATTGGTTTTTGCAGACCCTTGGATTGTTCTAGCACTCCCCAGAGGGCAGTATCACCCACGTTGGCAGTACCATGCTATAGACAAGTCTATAGCATGAATAGATAACTGAAAGCCAAGGGACTGGTCCTCCAGCCCTAGAGCAAATATCTGACTGAGGAAAGGTTGGAAATCGGACAAAGCATCAACCTTGCTAAGGTAGCAAAGCGGATGAATGTTTCCATAAGAAGGATAAACTATATGCAACTATGCTCTTAAAGAAATAACATTTATTAAGCATTTTGTGTATACTCAACACTTAAAGATCTTTAATAGCATGCTTAGGAGACCTGAAGGTATAGGTTATGTGTTGGCCAGCCATCTGCATGGTCAGCAGTTTGAAATCACCAGCAGCTCCATGGGAGAAGATGAGGCTTTCTACTCTCGAAAATAACAGTCAACAGTCTCCAAAACTCACAGGGGGTCACTATGAGTCACTCCGAATCAGCAGAGTCTGGTTTTTGGAATAGCATGCTTAATTAGGATGACTATTATGCTTTCTGCACATGGATTAAGTAATAAAACCACAAACTCTACACAAATTAGGTGTAGCCAAATAGGAGTTATTTATTTTAATGAACATGGGCATTTTCATAAATCTCAACTCATTATATTAGTTACTGAAAACCAGTGGGTTTGCAAACCGAGTAGAGGTGTAAAAGCTATCCCTATGGCAGACCTTAAAAATGAACCCTGGTCGCGTAGTGTTGGGCTGCATTTTGAAGCCTCGAGCCGCTCCATGGGAGAAAGCTGAGGCTTTCTACTTCAACAAGAAGTTACAATCTCAGAAACCCATGGGGCAGTTCTATTCTGTGCCACAGGGTCGTTCTAAATGGGAAAAGAATCAGTGGCAGTGAGTTTCTGAGTTGTATGTTTTTATATTTCTCAATAATAAAGGTTTTGTCTATACAAAATTTTAGGGATAAATCAAAACAATTTTGTTAACTGGTCCACTTGAAAAGGTTACTTATTAAAATAGACTCCATAAATTCTTTTATTACAAGAGTTAAAATACTGTTTATCTACATATCACAGTACTTTCTATTTCCAGAACCCAAATGAAAACATGGAAGAACACCCACTTGTCAAGCAAAGCAGAAAATCACAGTATTAATTCTCCTTTCTCAATCCTACCTCTGAGTTTATACTGTTCCCCACTGGCAGCATTAACAGTGAAGGTGTGAGAGTCCTCGTCACTGGGTGATATGACAGCTCCTGCAAGCTGCAAAGTACCTCTGGGCTTTTGATTTCTAGACTGTTCATTCACAAAGTATTCCAATAGTCCAGCTTCATTATTTAAAACAAAAAACCTATAATGATTACAAAAAAAAGGTCATAATTTTTTCACTTGTACACTTCGGTTATTTTGCTATTTTTAAAAAATAATAAATTTCAAAAGCATTTTTAAAAGTACTTGGAAATAAAGGCTATAGAAAGCCTAGATGAGCTTACTAAGAAATATGAAATCTTCAGCAGAGGAAGAGGTATACCAGATAAGACATAAAAGGAAGCAAAGATACAGTATCCTTTCAGAGGAAGATTTCTCTCCAGAATTCATTAACAGGGAGGGGAGACTGCCCAGGCTCATGCAGCAGTGTATATTTTTGTTTAAAATTCAATAAAAGTAAATCAAACCATGAACTCTGAGGTTAATAACTACATGGTAGGTAAAAAATCACTCTGATTTAAGGGTAAGTAAGTAAAATATATATAATGAGAGTAATGGTGGAATGGAGAGATTTTGTGAATGTATCTGTCATTAAGTGGGTCACAACCAAGGACTCTACTTGTCCTGTTTAAAAATGAAAAAGCTGTAACTGGAGATGCAGAACTACAAGGAACTTAAAACTAAATGATGAAATACTGATACACTTTGGAGGAGAATTTGATGTTCTGATTTGGTTCTAGATTAACTACTTCTGGACATAAATTAATTAAGATCTCGAGTGAAATTGAGTAGTAGATCTTTTATTTTTAAAGTGAGAGAAAATGTCTAAAAGGGCTCCAGCATTTTAAAGTTTATGTTTGGATGTGGAGTGGTTTGACAGGGCACCTGTTAGCGTGATACATGATAGAACCTAGTAGATCATTTGACCCAGTTCAAGTTCCTCGGAGATATTGATTGTCCACAGTAAGGAGGCAACCACATCACAGGGAGTCGGGGAAAGACTGCACTCCACCGTCTAGTAGGAGAGAGAGCGCTGCTGAGAAGCAACCCCAGAAATTGACACTGGGTGCTTGAGAATGGAGATGAAAAAAGCAACGGAGAGTTTTTCTTCTATAAATCATTTTGTTGGAGGATCTTATAGCTCTTATAACAATCCATACATCAATTGCATCAAAGATATTTGTGTATATGTTGCCATCATCATTTTCAAAACATTTTCTTTCTACTTGAGCCCTTAGTATCAGCTCCTTTGTCCCACCCTCCCCCAACATCACACCCTCGTGACCCCTTGATAAATTATAAATTATTATTATTTTCATATTTTGCACCGACCGCTGTCTCTCTTCTCCCACGATTTCTGTTGTTCTTCCCCCTAAGGGTGGGAGAGGGCTATACGTTGGCCATCAAAGGAGTGTTTTTATCAGCTTTTAGCATGCTTCTGACTTTAAAAGTTAGAGTCACAAAAAATAAAAGTGAATTAAATTTTGAGCTTTGAAACGTATTTTTTTTTTAATCATTATTAGGGGTTCATACAACCCTTATCACAATCCATACACACATCAATTGTGTAAAAGCGCATTTGTATATTCATTGCCCTCATCATTCTCAAAACATTTCCTCTCCACTTAAGCCCCCGGAATTAGGTTCTCATTTTTCCCCTCCCTC